ACGCCATACTTGATTGTGTATTGATGTGGAAAGTGCACACATTCTCTTCCTTCTCCTACAGTTAACCTCACCTAGAAGTTAAGCAGCATTAGAAGCGGCATGCTAATCAAGGTCCGCAGGGATGGGGGTAGTAGTGGCAAAAGCAGGGAGGGTTTAGAGATGGTCAAGATGGCCGTGCTCAGATTAATAAGCAAGTCACTGAGTTTAAATGAAACGAATCCTGCGCTTTGATGACAAGCAAACAGGAAGACTTTTGTGCGGGTTTCTTAATTTGTCTGGCTCTAGGCATTCGGGGATTCCAATAATTTTAAAAAATCAGTGAACTGACAGCTAAAAACCTTTTTCCCCACCCCGAAGTGCCCCTGGGTAATGACGTGTATCACAAAATTTTCTTGGCATGTTGTAATGTGGAAAGATACTAATCTTGAAAGGCATTTTATCCTACTGTGGTCCACCTATAACACCTAGCCTCGCTGGCCATTTTTATTCCTCCCGTCGCTGACAGGTTCTGATTTTTCCTGCTGAAGTAACTTGCTAAAGGGTTACCACTCAGTCATGACATCTAACACTTTACTCAGCCACTGACCTATTGCCTACTTCTTTGTGGAGAACAGACATCTTTCCCTGAAATACTGAATGAACAGTAAAAACCTAGAAAGAACAAAAGTTTGCTTTTTTTTTTTTTTAAAGTAAAATCTCATCGTTCTTAAGTTTGAACGTCCTATGATTTGAAGTTGAGTTGAGTTCTGGTATGTTTTCACATTCCGTAAGAATCTGCAGCAACACATTTCATGCACAAAGAAAAACTGCATAGGATCTGAATTTTTAATACCCTGAATTTTTGTGGATTGGAACTCAGAATTTGAAATTTTTCTTTTAATTTGCATCACGCCTTAGGGCATTATAATTAACGAATGAGGAAGGGCAGAATGCTTAGTCTCTGAAAAGAGAACAATTGAGTGTGGACTCTTCAGTGATATATTAAGCCCCCGGGTTTGTAGCAATGCTGGGTCCTTCCCTAACCAAACAGTGATCCAAGAATACTTCTCATTCTCTTTCTGTGTGTGTGTGTCTCTCCCTCACTACTAAGGAGTAACCAGTTATCGAGTAATGACTGTGTATCAGGCACAATGTTAAATATAATCTCGTTTAATTCTTACAACCCCCGATGCAGTTAGTGGCATTACCATTAGCACACTACCATGCGTTAGTGCAGATGAGGAAATGGAGTTAAAAGGGAGATGAAGCAACGTGCCAAAGGCCACACGGCAAACAGACACCAGAGACCGGCTCTGGATTGCATCCGAAACCCTTGCCCTGTGTCATTATACCACGTGGACTGCAAACATACTGACACCCCTGACTGGCTAAAGCCTTACAGACAACATATAGGATGAGCACCTGCTGGGTTTTCTAGGAGGCAGAACAAACACAGTCGCCAGTATTCAGAGGCTGTAACTGATACACATTACATGGAAAGGACAGAAGGCCTCAGCCTGTGGATCTTGGACCAACTCCTTTTCAAAACAGCCTTGTGGCATCTTACTGGCAAACCGTCTTCCTTCTGGCTGGTTTTTAAGCCATGTAATTAGAACACAGCAGGTATGTGGTTCAAGAGGCTGACCATCTTCACAGCCTTCCATCCCAGCCTCTGTTTTGTTCCAGTTTGCCAATCTGACCTTCCGTCCCGCCCAGCCATTGGCATCCTGCTGGAGCACAGGGCCATGCAAACAGCCGCAGCACGGTCCTCCTCTGGTACAGTAGTGTCTGTCACCCTTTAAAAGACGCATTCCCTCATTTGTGCCAGCTGAGCCGGGACGGGGACTTTCGAACATCCTCCTGCCAAGGAAACCCTTAAGTTGTCCAGACGTGAAAACATAAAGACACTGAAAGAAAAATCCACCATCTGATTAAACAGAAGAAGCAAGGAGGAGGCAAACAATGGTACAGAGTGTCTGGACACCTGCTGAAAAAAAAAAAAAAACAAGAAAGAGAAAACAAGACAGTGATGACACCAGATGACCTGCTCATGGCCCTTTTTGAACTGAACGGCCTGCCTTGAAAATGAAATAGGAAAACTGCAAACTGAAGAAAGGGACTGGCTTCTGACTCTTGTCCAGACTCTGAAATGAACATGCAAACCTGATTAGGATCAGTGTCAAACAATATTTACCGATTTCTATGAAACTGTGAATGTAAAGGAAGGCCTGTGAGTCATGAGCAACTGAGAGGAAATTAACTGCAGTATTTACTGTGCAGATTCTGATTCACCATTATTTTGGAAGAAAGCCTGGTTGTTTTTAGCAGATGCATTTATAGTCTGTGGGAATCTCAATTTTACCAAGCCGCATTAGCTAAGAAATTACTCATGAGTTGATTGAAGTTATATTTTACAAGCAAGACTCAGGGGGGAAAACCCACTTTAAGAAATGCTATTTCTTAGAGTAAAATTCAGGGAAGAAGTAAATTATCAAGAAATGTTAACAGAGATGAAGTCTACCTGAAGAAAACACGGTAGGCAATAATTTGATCTCATAAAACAGATAAACTAGGGGCTACCTGTTTGCACTGGCTCAAGTTCATTATGCTTCAGCCTCCCCTCCCATCAGTGGGAACAACCCAAATGTCCATCAGGAGATAAATGGTTACCAAAGTTCATAGCAGCACTATGTACAATTGCCAAGACATAGAAACAACCCAAGTGTCCATCAACAGATGACTGGATAAAGAAGATATATACATACATACACACACACAATGGAATACCACTCAGCCATAAAGAAGGATGAGATTTTTGTCATTTGCAACATGACTTGGAGGGCATTATGCTAAGCGAAGTAAGTCAGACAGAGGAAGACGAATCTCGTATATCACTTAACCTAAGGAATCAAAAAAAAAAATGTCACAAACTAGTGAGTATCACATAAAAGAAGCAGACTCACAGATACAGAGCACAAACCAGTGTGGGAAGGGGCAATAAACAGGTGAGGGAGTGGGAGGTGCAAATCACTGGGTGTGAGACAGGCTCGAGGATGTATGGCACAACCCGGGGAATACAGCCAATGTTTTGTGATAACTGTAAGTGGAAAGTAACCTTTAAAAATTGCATGAAAAAAAGAGAGAACTGGTTAAGTAAATTATGTATTTCTACATCACGGAGTCCAAGGCAGGTTTAAAAAGAGTGGAAAGAGATCTGTTTTTTAAGTGACTTGAAAAAATACGACAAAATACGGAGTCGTGTACAGAGTAAGATTTCTTCCCCTCTGTGCAAGCTTGGTATGTACACTGACAAAGTCTAAGTGAACCAGTATCATCCCCTTGACAGTGATTATCACAAGGGAGGGGTGAGGACTGCTGAAGGACTTCATGCCCCAAGTGACATGTTTCTGAAGTGTGTGCTTTTTTTTGTTTCTTTTATAATGACTATTTAAAACTTTTGATAAAAAAATTAAAATATATAACTGTAAGTAAAAATGACTTTGAAAACTATCTGAAAAAAATGCCATGGCCATCGTATCTAGCATGATTAGAAATCCGGTCTTAGAAACAAATTTTAAAATACACCCAATATTACTCATATTCCTCCTGGAAATTAAGTATTCCTTACTTCAATAGATCTGGGTCACTGGGCCAAAACAATAGTGACCAAGTTCTAACTGCATGATTCAGACATGCTCACTTACTGTCTCTCACACAGATGGATCTTTGTTGTTGAACATAACGCTTTATTACTTTTTACTGATAATTCCCAATAGGAAGGCTCAGTGCCCAGCTAGTCTGATCCAGGAGAGCTGGACGGGCATTCAGAGGGGGCGCTGGTTTGTTCTGGGTGACACCGTTTCATGTCGTCTGTGCTGGTTTCACAACCATAAAATGGGGAGATGAGGGTAGCTTTCCTCATTCTCTAAACTCAAAGGAAGATTGTGCGCACTGATTGAGTCTACAAGGACACTTCAAAGACGAAGAGCATGTGGTGTTATTACCAGGGTCTGATTTTATAAAAATACGCCTGTTTTTCCAGTACACGTTAAAGCAAGAGACAGATGGAAGAGATAGGAGCTATTCCAGGCTGTGATGTCGGGCTGTGATAGCACAGGCAGCCTGACCATGGTCTGTTATTAGAGGCCATTGTTTCACTGCTGTGACTCCCAGGGATGGCAGCGCGGCCCAGCGAGGGCGACAAAACCTACCAGCATGAGTAAGCCTTTATGTCATGATAATACTGAGCAGGCTGGGGCAGCTAGATGGCTATCCACATGGACCTATCAATTCTTATATAGGCAAAAATGTACTGTATGCTTGTGCTCAGGCAAGAGGAACAACCTCATAATCAGACCGCAACCTGCAAGGAATGTAACTTACTAGGTCTGGAATATCCAAACCCGATAGAGTGCACCCCTTTAATAAACAGCACGGAACTTATTTTCCTTTATGAAAAGTAGGCATGTTTAGCATGGAAAATTGTAAAACAAGGGTAAGCAAAAATAGCAACGGTAGTAGAAAGAAGATTACTTATAACCGTACCACTGAGAGGTACCTAGCACCCAAAATTTTGGTTTACGTCTTTACAATTCACCCATTTGTTTATCCATCCAGTATAAATATGTATATGTATGCCTATGTGTGTGGATGCATGTATATATTTTTACATATACTTAAAATTTATTAAACAAATGACATCATCATGTTCATACTAACTTAAAATAGAAACCTTATTGTATGCACTTGTAAACTATGTTGTGATCAACATCCCGCTAGGTAAATCTTTGTGCATAATTTTATTTCCTGAGAATAAATGATTAGATGTGGAATTGCTGTGTAAATGGTATATGAATGAGTTACGAAAAAGTATTTTACATTTAACCTGAGACTTCTTGCAACCTATGATTTCAATACCAGAAGTTCTTTACCCAAGACTGTTTGGTGCCCCCTGAAAGCAACGCATCCAGCTCTAGAATAGCTCAATGTTCTTCTAAGTATCCAAAATGACTCATACTTACTTTCCGAGGTTTCACCTTATCTTGTAAATCATACTGGCCAATTCCTTTATAGCTGATTCCAAGCCACCAAGGAAGTCCTTGTTTATCCTGGAAGATGGAAAAGCATGAGAACCAAGACCTAACTGTTAAGTCTTCTAGAGATGAAGTAATATCTACAATTTCATCCTTTAACAAGTAACAGCAAGTCAAAACAATTTTGTCTTGGTAAACAAAACACTACTTAAAATCCTAACTTGTCATTAAAATGCCTTTGTTGAGTTTCTTCAGATAAGGTCTGTAAGTCAAAACAGACCAATATTATTAATACCATCAAAAAGAAAGAAGTATTACTATTTTGATTAAACAGTTGTAGAGAAGAAGAATGTAGGTAATTCAACTAAGAATTAATTCAGAGTACAAAAGCCAGTATATCAATCCAAAAAAAAAAAAAAAGAGAGAGAAGAAAAAGAAAAAAGCTCTTTGTTCTCTAGATTAGTAACCAGCTATAAAGGTCAGAGAAGTTTCCAACAGACTACCAAGATGAGAAAAGTGGTTTCAAATTCTAATGTTTATAATATACTTAACAAACACGGAAATACTGAAAAAAAAACCCCAAAAAAACTCTTTTGGAGAATTATGTGATTCAAAGACAGGATGCTTGAAAAATGACTTTGAGGTACATATAAGAAAGAAAGAAGTATTTTTCTTTTCCATAAACTTATCTTTTAGGTCTTGCCAAAGAAAGGGATATAATGACATAGGAAAAGAAAAACTTGAGCTTAAATAGATACTCATATGCAAACAAATTTTAAGACTCAGGAATAATTAAAGTGGAATTGGTACATATTTTTAGTACAAGGTGTCCTCATTATACAGGTATTTATTACTCAATTCCCCACCATTTCGAATTGCAAACATTGTTGGGACTTGAAGTCACTCAGGATTGATCAAGTATAAAATTATTCTTCTTTCAAACTACACCCCCTTCTTAACAATATGCTTTATCTTTTATCATCTCAAAATATTTCTTATTGAATCTCTCCTTGTGTATAGCAATCTGAAAATACTACACAAATATAAAACATATCAACTGAAAATCAGTATTGCAAATCCTGGAAAAACTCGGTGATTTTATGAAGCTTTTGAACTGATATTGGAAACTGCCTGGTTCTCATCAAAGGCACTATCAAACAAACATCTAGTGGCATTAGAAAGACACACAATTGCAAAAGAAAAAGAACAGCAAGACTAGCTAAAAAAAAAAAAAGGAGTGCCAAAAAAAAGAATGATCTGAGTATCTTAGTACTAACCAAGGCTTGAGAAAAACATTTGAACATAGCAAATATTTTGCAAAAATAATGTGCTTCATAATTGACTGAAATATATATATTTTTCCAGGCTTTTTTAAAAAAGAAAATCAATTCTATTCTAAATGCTGAAATTTCTAGAGATAATTTATATATACATGCATATAGATTTATGTGATTTTAAAAAAAGTTAGTGTTGCTCACTAACTCTCATAACATGGTCATGATGAAAGCTTCGTCATGTAAAAAGTGCTTACCTTTACTGCATAATAATGGACTCCGTAAGTTGGTAGGGCTTCTACTATTTTCATATACCTATGGAAAATGAATGTATGTTGTAACCTCTTATTAAATTAGTCAGAGGGCCCTTTGGGGAAAAGCGATCTACAGAAACACAATTTGTATCTATTTTCCTCATAACCATGTCTTTGACTAAAGTAGAAATAGAATAAACCACTCTACAGGAGTAATATATTTTATCTGATCCAAATGTTAGGAGGTTGTTAACACACATTCAGTTTTGAAAAGCTATGGGAAATGTTATTTTCCACATATTAAAATTTCTATGGCTTAGAAATATATTGTACTGTATTATAAACCCAAATTACAAGTATTTTTTAAATTAAGCACCTAATGATATAAGCAATGAGAATCAACTTTTGGGACATGCTCATACTAAGTAAAAAATAAAGCTATCCCATATATTGATCATGGTAAACTCTTAGAAATATATACTTAATTCTCAAGACAAACATCTTAGAAATATATGTTTTAAAAGGGTGAATTTTATTGTATGTAAACCTGATTTTTAAAAACATTCCCCCCAAATTAAAATGATGATGCTAACTCTTGCTATTTTTAATTCAATAAGTTTTTATTATGTACCTCTAAGACTTTATGAAAAAAAAAAAGACTTTATGGAGTGGACTAAATTGTGTAAGATTTCCTCTCTGCCCACAAAATATTGAGGTTCTTTTATGATACATGTGGAATTTTTAATGACATTTTGAAGATCAATTGCTCTGGATTTTGTAATTGATAATTTGATAATTTTTTAAATGTAAATGGTCTACATGTAAATGAATATTAAAAATTAGGTAAATGTGCCAAAGTCGGGCAGCAATTACTCTGCACCACCAGGATTCTAATAAAGTCAGTCAGAGTCCACAGTCTAGAGCTTTAACTACTAAATTATAGACAGTCTCTTATTTGGAGCCATAAGGGTAATGATCAAAAGAAGTAAGAGGGCACTGCCTTTAAGCAAGAACAATTCATAAAGTGCTCATTAAGCTAACCTAAAATCCTTCAGGGAAACTGTTACTCCTTTCTTTCCTTTTTCCAGTTTAGAAAACAGGCACAAGTTAAGGATTCAACTTCAGGACTGTTAACTTCTGATTTCTACCTCGAATCTCACAGAAGATGCGCTATGATAAAAAAGAGATTAATGCAAGAGTACGGAAGTGGGGGATATCTACACACTGACCAGAGGAATAGTCATCGCCAAGTTCTTATTTCAAGTTCTCACATGCTCTGAGCTATATTCAGCAGGTTTTTTTTCTAAACTTCTGTGGCCATAGAAGTTATTCTACAATTATTACAGCAATAATGCTACATTTGTTTTTATAATTTAAAAATTACAAAATTGTAAATTTAGTATTTATTTATTTATTTATTTATTTATTTATTTATTTATTTATAAACATTTTTTATTGATTTATAATCATTTTACAATGTCGTGTCAAATTCCAGTGTAGAGCACAACTTTTTCAGTTATACATGAACATATATATATATATATATATTCATTGTCACACTTTTTTCTCTGTGAGCTACCATCAGATCTTGTGTCTATTTCCCTGTGCTATACAGTATAATCTTGTTTATCTATTCTACAATTTTAAAATTCCATCTATCCCTTCCCACCCTCCACCCCCTTGGCAACCACAAGTTTGTATTCTATGTCTGTGAGTCTTAAATTTAGTTTTTATAATTCAAAAACTTCAATGTAGCCTGTGAACTGCTTTTAATAAATGGATGATAACTCTATAGGTCTAAAATGTAAAAATATTTCATTATGGTCTGCTGTTGGTAGCATGAAGAAACAGATTGTCTACTACAACACTATGTGCTCCATGCAAAGGAGACTCACAAACCAGGCAACCAAACATTGCCTCCAGGTTTTGTGTGGCTCATGTTGTGCAAAAATTTTCTTAAAATTACTTTGGAATGTTTAAAATTAGGATTTAAAAATCAGAATTTCCAGCTTTTCTGGAAAAACATCAGATGATCTGGCAACACTGTGTCTGAATTCTGAAGCTGAATACCCTTGACTCGGCTCAGGGCAAAAGCTCTCTACTTCACCACAGTCTCCACCATTCCCTATTGCCCTGCACTCAGCCTGTATTTCTCACTTCTTTTACCTGCCTGATGCTGACTGGCATCTGAACTGATGACACCTAAGTATGGAATGACCCAAGACATTTTATAATTCATGGTAAGATAATTCTAACCAGGTAAGGACTTTATGTATACAAACTACACAACAGAAATCATTTCAGATCACTTCGTCAAACAGAGGCATTAAAATTATATCTAATATTGAACAACATGGGGAATATAGCAAACATTTTATAATAACTACAAATGGAGTATAGCCTCTAAAAATTGTGAATCACTATACTGTACACCTATAATTTACACATCAACTATATTTCAATTTAAAAAATTACATCTGAGGGGAGGATATAGCTCAGTGGTAGAACGTGTGCTTAGCATGCACAAGGTCCTGGGTTTGATCCCCAGTACCTCCATTAAATAAATAAATAAAAATAAACCTAATTGCTCCCCCCAATTTTTTTAATTAAAAAAAATTTAAAATTTCATCTAAGCAAAAAGAAAGATACTTACTGAACCACAGCTTGACCCCGAGTCAGACCTTTGATTTTCAAATAATGCTCAATTACCCTGTCCTCACTGTAAGACAAGAAAATGAAAAGCAGAGCAATGAATGACTGTATGAGGCACAGATTCAGTTTCAGGAGTCTCAGGTGGCAACCTGAAAAACTTGAGAGAGAAGGCCTTGACCAACTTGTTGGGAGACAGAAGCTGGTTGACTTTTGTTTTTGTACGACATGAATTCTCGACCCTCAGGCACTTGACGTCATTTATTAGAAAAGCATAATATCAATTCATTAAATGAAAAACTAACATTCTTTCCCATAACTGAATGGTATACAATAAATACGAAATAATGTTATTCAGTACTAGTTAGAGAGCCTTCTTGGGGAACTTAAAAAGGGTTTTTAGAGTGATCAGCAAGTATCAGGTTTTCTAGACATTTCCTTTAAATTGTTCAGAAAGATACAGAAAGAATTAGAACTGCTTCAATGAAAAATGCTGTCACTACTTGTGAATATACTCTTTTAGGAGAAAAGCCTCCATTACTGTCTTAGGATAAAACTTTTTGACTAGAAAGGAGAGAAACAGGCAGAAGTCTGGTCACCTTTGACATCACTCAGCTATTTACCCTTCTTTCAGATTGGTAGCTCCTCAGTCATATCTCAAGTATAACTGAGAAGAATAAATGTTTTTATCTCTAGACAACCAATCATCAATGGTAATCGGTCTTTGTTTTTAATCCTTAAGAAACTACCCTTAAACAATGATTCATTTAGAAGTTTCCAGCCTCAGGATGTGATGTAGCCTCAGTACACACTTTCACTATTTGTTTGGGAAATACTCCAGCTTTCATATTAAAGCTATTCATGTTGAATATTTATTTTGTAACCAGTCCTTTAGTGGAAAGGAAAACCATCTTCAGGATCCACAGCCTTAAACAGAGGAAAATAAATTTAAGGGAATGTAACTAATTCAAGGGGGGAAAAAGTACTTTTCTAGGAAAAATGTTGCATGGGCAATGCAATGGAGTCATTAAAATATAGACAAGTAAAATGACTCAAAATATACAATGATTTCTGGCTATAGAGGAAATCCCTGATCATTCAGGTTCATTCTGTTCATTACAAACACTTCTGTCCAAGGAAATCTGTGTTTTTATACCACTTGTACTATATTCTGCTAGATTAAGGCTACATGACACATTACGTGTGCAGTCATGCACATATAGTGACTATTACTCACTAAAAAGTACACTTTACAAACCTTTTATGCCCTTGAATGAGGAGGCACATGGCCACTCTTCACAAATGATTACAGTCTTGGGACAATGATCTCCAGAAAGCTTTATAAGACCCTTTCACTGCAAAGACCAAGGTCTACTTAGGGTTAGTCTGGCACATGTGATGGGCAATTTGATATTTTCCTCCCTTATATTTCTTTTAATTTCCTGAGGAGCAGGCAGCTCTCAGTGAAGTCTCTGGTAACGGGGTCACTGGCTGTCTTGGCTTGGCTTACCAGTAGGCAAGAGATGGATGCTCCTGCAGAGTTTTGGTTGGAAAGGCTGGTAGCGTCTTTAAATCTTTCCTGGCATTTTCATCACTGAAAAGAAAAGTAATACACTATGTCAGTTGCTATTACTTAAAAGATTATCTTAGCTGGTCACCAGATGAAATCTGAAAACTAGTAATAGCAACTTGAGCTCTGGAAAAAATGCTGCTGTCAACATACATAAGGCTATGGACTTGAACTAAAGACAGCCTTCAATTGGGATGACCAACTCATCTGATGGATATTTTGAAGTTTTTAGAAAGACAAAAAAAAAATTAAAATAACTATTAAATTGCCATCAATCCCACTTTCCTTATAAACTCACAGCTGTGTTCACTGTTTATTTCCTGTATGTATGTATTTTATTACATACTATAATTGTGCATGTTCCATACTCTTATTTTTACACAGCATTCTTCAAATTTCATTTCATACTTTCTCCATGCTTCTATAGTACCCTCATAATTGTCTTTAGTGGCTACGTAATGGTCACCATGTTGGAACACTGGTTATCGTAGAACCATTCACATGGTACTACCAATTTTTCTTCACAGGTATCATTGCAATAAAAAGGTTTATGTTGACCTTTCTATTTCTTGTCTCTTACTTCCTGACCATTCTCTGAAATAATATGGACCACATCGGCTATCTGCGGAAAGCACTTGGCTAGCAGATGACTTGAAAACACATTTCTAATGAACTCCAAAGTATCCCTCAAGTTGCACCACGTGAACTAAAAATGCACCTTGCGAAATGTCAGCTAATTTAAAAATGGCAACAATCTGGCAACACAGGCAATATTTTATAATAACTATAAATGGAGCATAATCTTTAAAACTTGTGAATCACTGTTGTACACTTGAAACTTAGATAATATTGTAAATCAACTAGATCTCAATTAAAAACAATAATAATAAAATTAAAACAAAACAAAAGGCAAAATTCTGGCTGTCAAAGGGGAAGGGTGTGGTCTTTAAGGAACTCAACAGAAAGGGAAACAAGTGGTCCGACTCAGTCGTAGTTGGCCCTGCACTGTATGAGACAGAATAATCTCTAACAGCCCCATGTGCTTAAGGAGCAGTCTCAGGAAACAGACATGACTCTGGAGGGTCTATTAAAGCCTAGGGTAAGTGCATTAAAGAGCTACTGAACATCTTGATCCCGCTGGTGTTCATCACACAGCACACTGGTAGGTCTTCACCCACTTCCCACCTCTTCCTATCTTGGCCACCAGCTACTTTTTGTTGAGGTTATCAAGAGCCAGGCACCATGAAGTGCACGTTTAGGGCATTGTCTATCTCATCGCAACTCCTCCCATGTGGCAGGTACTATTACTACCCACACCGCTTTATAGGAAGGACTGTGCTCTTTAGGGAGGTTAATCCTCTTGCTGAGTGTCTCACAGCTCCCGTGTGCAGGAGCCAGGAGGCTTCAAAGGCCAAGATCGCAAGTACTGTATTCTGCTACCTGATTCCCTGACAGCACTCCAGAGTAGCGTCTTGGGGAGCCAGCGAGGCAGAGCTCCCCTTCACCCTCACCCTTAGCTACAAATGAAAACTCCAAACCAGTCGGTTTTCAAATCCGTCACTCAAGCATTTGTACATTAGCTTCCCTGGGGTCTGCCCCAGTGTGGATCCTGATACTGAAGGAGATGAACCCCCGAGTGGAAGACCGAACACTGAGCTCAAGGTCAATCTCCTCCCCAAGCGTTCACTCAGTTCTCCTAGACGGAATGTTACAGATCAGACTGGAGAACCGAGCGCGGCCAAGCAGCCAGGTCTCGTCTGGCCCACACCATACTGTGCTGTATTGCAAACTGCTCTCTCCTGTCACTTGATCAGGTTTGCTGTAAGTGGTGCCCCTTCAGTGTCTACAGAAGGTTTGTTTTCTGGTTTTATCGCCACAGGGCAACCAAGTGAAGCCACTGAGCAAACTGAACATAAACTGACTGTCTTTCAAGCAAGAACACAGAGTTAGGGCTGAGTGTCCCCTAGCTTGGGGACACCATGATTTGCACCTGTCAATGCTGGATTTCAAAACCAGGCTTGTGGCCCTTCCTCAGAGTGAAAGATCCGGCTTTCAAATTACTCCAGGAAGTGAAAAGTCACTTGGCTCCTGCTCTTACATAAGGATAAATCTCTCTATTCATTTGAAATCTGAGCAGTATGGCTTCACCACACTGACAACCTTGGGAAACTGGTTTGGGCTTCCGGAAAACTAAAATATACCACAATCCAATTTCATCACATTAAAGGTCACCTGTCAACTCCCAGTGATGGTATTTGTTTTTCTTAATAATTTCTTTTATGCCCTGTCCTTCAAATCCCATTTCCTTTCCAAAGAAGTTGGCTTGTGACCTTTTTTTTTTACGAAGGTCAAATACGTGTGTATGTTCTGAAATGAACACTTTTTGTTATTAATCATCACCGCCAACCACACATGTGTTATTATCTTCTGGGGCCATGTGAATTGTGTTCTGTGTTCCAAGAACTCAGCCTCGCAGTCACTTATTTCTTTGGATTATAGCTAAATGTTGAGGCAATCAAGACCTCAGTTGAGTAGAAGAGGAGAAGCCGCTATTTACCACAGATCCACTTACTCATTTAGCAAATATGCATTCAGTGTACACTGCATGCCTAGCAAGTACAAACAAGTGTCATATGGTGAAGCTGATTTTCACTTATGCAAATGGAGTCAGGGAAAAGACAGAGCAGTGAGGAGAAAGAAGGGAGAAATTTTATCCATCATCCTACTCAACAGGCTCATGGCTGACAGTAAGTGTAAAATGGCAGGTTTGAAGTCGCTGCCCTTTAAGATGCTTTTAGTACCTGCGTCCTTGAAGCACCAGCATCTCACACTCCTGAGATTTTTCTAGAATTTATGCATTGACTACGTGCCTGCTAAACACAACCAGCCCGTATATTTAGTACCTGACTAAAGAAACAGCTATGTGTCTCAACTGGAGAAAAAGACTACCTTTGTTGGATTTATTGAAAGGTGAACTTTGGTCTTTGATGGGTCACCTTCCCAAGGAGTTTTCAAATGTAATTTTAACTCTGCACAATTGGAGCCTACCCCAGTTCTAAGATGTGATGCATCTGGAAAATCAATAAATTATCAAAGGTTAATCACAAGGCAGCATCTTAAATAGCAATGAATATTCATTCATTAAGACTTTTTTGGGTACTAATCGATCACTGGCAAGCAACTAAAATGCACATTAATAGGCAAGTGGCTCAGGGATCATTTTGGGGAGAGTTTAGGTTACTTTAAAAGGAATATATGTTAAAAGGTGGAGTACAGGGGGTTGGGGAGCTGTGAAACTCCTCTGAATAATACAACACAGAGTGAACCACAATTTGACTATGGACTTTGGTTAATAATAATGTATCAATGTTGATTTATCATTTGAAACAAATGAGCCACACTAACATAAGATGCCAAAAATAAGTGAGACTATGGAGGGTTGGGGGGGGTATAAAATAACTCCCTGTAGTTTCTCCTCAATTTGGCTGTGAAACTAAATTTGTTCTAAAAAACAGTCTATTAATTGAAAAAAAGAAAGAAAGATTAAAAAGAAAGAGAGAAATATACTTTATTAGTGGTTCTTCACTGGGGCATTTTTGCTTCTCAGGGGACACTTGACAATGTCTTAAGACATTTTTGGCAGTCACAGTTGGGGAAGGAGGTGTGACTGGCATCTACTGAGCAGAGGCCAGGATGCTTCTATACATCCTACAAGGCATAGGACAGGCCCCCAGCAACAGAGAATTATCTTGCCTCAAATGTCAATAGTGTTGAGGTGGAGAAGCTCTGATTTGGATTATTATCAAACTCCTGATACTTCAACCCTAAAACTTCTAATGGCATCTTTCACACTTGAAGGATTTTTCTCTTGTGTCACTTAGACTATTACATATTGAAATAAAAATAGATCTCGGGTGCAAGTATCTAACAGGAGCCAAGCTGGGAGGTGCATTAGAAATCCAACTGTCTAAGCGAGCTGAGAAAGACAAGTCAAACTCAGCAGCAGACAGAGGGACACAATGGGGACGGGTGGGGACCATGAGGAAGAGAAGAGAACACTGTGCATTTGAAGTATGACTTAGGACATAGATTTGGCTGTGTGTGACTGACATTAACATTTGAGTTAATTTCTCTTTACATAGAAGTCAGAGCTAGAATAGCATGAAGTGTTCAGGGGCCCAAACTCTTCTCTGGCTGCTTCAGTCCTTCCTGGGGTGTTGCTGTCCTTCACGTGGTCCAAGATAGCCATCACCATATCTACTCCTCAGCCAACAGGTAGGGGGAAAGGGATAAAGGAGGATATATCCACTTTGTTAGGGGCAGAACCTGAAAGCTGCCTGCTTCCCTAATCCCACTGGCCACGATAATCACATGGTGCTCCCTAACTGCAAGGGACACTGGGTACGTAGTCTTTACTGGGGCAGCCACATGCCTACCTAAAACTTCTACCCATGGAGGAAAGGGAGACTGGATACTGAGGAAGCAATCAGACCCCACTGCTGACGGGGAACTGCAACTCAAATCAAAGTAATTTCTGCCACGTGGAAATGTCGAGCCACTATTGCCTAATGACTGCATATTTTTTCCAAAATAAGGCAAAATCCCAGAATTTCACACAGAATGTCTGAATTTTAAAATATTGCCTCAACCGAAAAACAAAAAAATACAGCCCAAAATAAAAAGTGAAACACTGTGCAGGCCGTATAAAACATACCAGCAGGCCATCACCATCGCTTTGCAAATCCTGACATAAATTATAAGCAAAGAATGTAGAGGGAGGACCTTTCTAGTTCAACTTGGTTTCTAGTTTCAGGTAATTTATCTACAGGGCAAACTGTCAGTAGGCATGGATAAATGAGACAGAGAAGCGCTTTTCACAAAGGTGGAATCTAGACCATCCCAAAAGATTATATTCTCAAGAAAAAACACAGCCTTACTTCTTCGTGTTAGAAAAGGTTCCTGTTAATCCTCCAAATCTGGTCATTTGTACTATTGCAAAACATCCTTTCCTCACGAATACACAT